ACTACATTCTCTTGTGAGGTTAATCAGTTGAATCTGTGGATGTAGAACCCATGGACACAGAGAGTTGAGTGTAATTTTCTGTATGTTTTTTCATCAGTCATATATTTTGATTATGAATTTGCCAGTTATATGTAAGATCTTATTGTCCATTCTATTTTTAAATCAGTAAAGCCTAGCTTTTGAAATACAATATACATCTCAGTAGAAGTGCTATTTCCTTCTGGAAATCCAATGGCTGTCTTGCACACTCCCTGGGTTGGGCCTTCCGCTCTGTGCTCTGTGGAGACCGCTGTGTCCATGCAGGGTCACTTCTAGACCTCAGCACTTGTTTCTTCCCCAGCTGGAAGCATGCTCTCCTCACCTTTCCTGAGGTTACTCATATTCACAGAGAATTTTGGATAGTTATTGAGCTAATATGCACCAAAAGCTATAAGTGCTTAGAGGAAGTGAGCCATGTTAGGCTTGATAATCAGAGTTATATTAATGGTTTTCAAGCAGGCGCTGATCACTTGACTAGTGTCAAGTGTCAAAGCATTACAGATACAAGTTCCTGACTTTGACTTCAGTACTAACCTCTGAATCAGTGTTGACACAGAGTAAAGTGTCAAGACAAGTCAGTCAAGACACCTGATCATTTGCTGTTTGTTAAGCCAAGGTTGAATGAACTTGACATTTATAAAGATTCATTAAGCTGGAATAGGCATGGGTCAGAAAAACATACTTGAATTGTTTCTAGGTTTTTGCTTTATAATCTATGCTGTATTGTCAATCGTTTACATATATTTCAATGTATTTGGGGGTAAATTCTCAGATGTGGAATGTTGGATATAGGGGCATGTGTGTTCTAATTTTTATAACTATAGATATTACCATATTTTTCTTTTTAGGAATCTTGCTGACTTATATTTCTCCCAGCAACATCTAAGTGGGCCAGTTTCCTGCATCCTCCACTGCAGTATGTTAACAAATCTTCGGGTTGCTGATTATCTGATAAGAGGAAAATGGATTGTACAGTCATTTGAACTTGCATTTTTCTTATCATAAGAAATGTGCGTCTTTCCACAGGATCAGGAAACAGTGAATGCCAGTGGACTCTTTGTTCAAATCATTAGTTTAAATAGCTGTGGACAGGAGAATGGTTAAATAAATTTAACATATTTATACAAAAAGACAGTATGCCATGGTACAAAAGCAGCTGATCACTAAGATAGTCTGGACCGTGAAAAGGCCAAGGTGAAGACTATGGACTACGTTTTGCATGAAAAAGCATATGATAAAGATTAAGTAACTTGGGCTTGTAGAGTGGCTGAAGTAGTACAGCACTTGCCCAGCAAGCATGAGGCCCTGAGTTCAAACCCAAGTACTACCAAAAAATAAAAAAAAAAAATAAGAAAAAAAAAGAATAAGTACCTGAATTTTCCTACTTGTGCCTAAGGAGAGTTGAGAAGTTCACAAAAGAAACAAACAAAAAATGCCATTACCTGTAGAGAAGGAGGTGGGGACTTCTGGATGGAGCAAAACCATGTGAAAGATTTTACAGTGTCATTTTTTTAAAGATTGGGATATAGTGCCTATTTACAAAATGAAATTAAAACAATCAGCACATGACACTTGTCTTGACAGCAGTCCAAATGTTGAGAATCCCACTCTACACTCGGGGCAAGCACAGGACTCACATGCCTCCTGTCCTCATGCTTTTTGTGGAGAGGGTACAGCAGAAGGTGAGTTGGGTCCTGGAGACAGGACCATTTGCTAAGAAAATGGGAAAAGTTTCCACCTATAGAGTGTGCACATATGAAGGCCTCATTTGAGGATGTCAATAGAAATATTCAAAATTTGTTGGTGTTTAAAGAATTAATCCTTAGAGTCAACAAAAGTAGGAGGTTCTGGAATAATCTCAATATTGTATATGAGGAAAATAAAGCTTTGAGATGAGACTTTGTTTAGGATCTCTGAGCTGTGATAGGAGGACTGGCATCAGATGGCAGACATCCTCCATGTGCCTCCTCCTGAGAAGCCAGAGCAGATGCCTAAACGAGAGGAGATGCATTTCTCACAACTTCCTTTTCCTTTCTTAGCTCAGGTGGAAACCAGAGTGGAGTTCCAGGCTAGGTCATCAACAAAACTGAGCACATCCTTATGGCAACTGTAGACTTGTTTAAAAATCTAATAATTTGATAAAAGCCTTGAGGTAGTCATTAAAGGAAAATCTTGAGCTTTATTGATTTTCCTGTACATAAATATATACAGTTTGATACTATTTTCATTTTGAATTATGTATGAGTAGAGAGGTGGGAGACCATAAATATTTCATTAATTGTGAGCACTGAAGTCCCTGCTCTGAGTTGAATATAGCTCAGGATATAGAGTTGAAAATGCTAAGCATTTACTTTGGTTTCTGTGCTTTTAGACCAGCCTTCTAGAACATACACAGTGTGCTGAGGGCAGTGGGAGGTACAGGGCTTTCCAGGTCTTTTTTCTCAGACCACAATTATATGTGTCAGGCACAAAGGGCCAGCCCTTCTCCTAAGGAAGGCAGAACTCTGAAAGCTGAGTGGCCGGGCCATTTGTGATGGGGTTTGCTCTGCACTGCCTGCCTCCACAGCATTCCAGAGAGGAAAATGTCAAGAAAGGTTACATTTTATCAAGAACACTTAGTTTAATCACAGAAAATATGTTTTTTGTATTCTTTCAGGAGTACAAACAATGCTTGTAAAAATTTCTTATGGGCTTGTGCTCTAGATTTCATGTTAAATAAATTTACATGTAGTATTGTATATATCAGAAGAATACAGTCCACTTGATTGGGGGCAGGAGCAAATGAGGGTTTCTCCAGAACAGAGGATGAGGACATGTTTCCTCCCAACAGGCAACAGTCGTGTGGAAACATGTCCTAGACTTTCCTCCCTTAACTCTGAACTTTATCTTCTGCTTTTCAAGTTCATGTCCCTCACACATCAGCTGTTGTGACTGTTTTCTCACATCAGCTGATGGAAAACGCTATGAGGATGTAGGAATCCAACTTGATGCTAGTCATAAGCATCAGTTTTCCTGCCAGTTGACATGGGGCAGGTGTCCCAAACCCCACAGGACAAAGCCATTAGGATTGTCAGCCAAGCATTTATGCCAGGCACTGACATCAGAATGCTCTTAGCTGGCGATGGATGTGTTAGCTTTTGAGAAAGGTCAGGTACATTTCAGTTGCCCATGGCCCACCTTTATTTAGCTTAGCATGTAAACCCCTTCCTGCTGCCTTGCTGCCTCCCAAGACATGTTTCTGTCTGCAAAGTCTCTCAAGAAATTGCCCTTTGTCCAGTCCTGGATCTGTCTGTCTCTTCCACTGGAGTCTTAATACCTTCTACGTTTGAAGTTGGTTATTGCAGCCAGGACTAGGCTTTCTGAAACAGAGGGCGAAGCATTGCCTCTTCAGAAGACACCATCCTTCACAGTGGGTGCTAAGCACCTGGGTGTCTGCATCTGAAGTCCTCCTCTATCCCTTTCCTTGTCCCCTAAGTCACCTTCAGCTTAGTAAGGATTTGCCATCAGAATTTCATGCTTCTTAAGGCTTGTCCTTAGTTGTTAAAAAATGATGAACTTAGAAGTATGCTTCCTTTATTCCTATTCAGATGCTAATTTCGATATGTGGAATCTTTTCTGCCATTGCTGTTAGCATGAAATTTTCCGGTGCCTGGATCTGCCTTTCAGACTTGTTTGTGAAGGAGGGAGAATTATTTTCATCAGATGTTTGGACTGGGTCTCTAGTAACATAGCCTGTTGCTTAAAATGTTTTGGTCTTGGTTATTTCATAGTCCAAAGCAAAATAAACACTGTCTTTCTCTGTTTCTGTCTCTGTCTTTGTCTCTGTCTCTGTCTGTCTGTCTGTCTCCCATTATTGGAATATATTTTGGGGCTTTTACTTTCATATTTGGAGAAACACAAAGATTTGTCATGCCTTCTTCAAATAGTCAGTTTTCCTCTAGCCTTTCCATATTCCTGCATAGGAACCAAATAGATTAAATTTTTCTTTCTTCCTTTGAAATTTATGCTTCTAAAGCAACAGGAGATCAAACCAAGAATGACTATTCAAGCCAGTGGGATACTGAATGAACTTCACTTAGAATGAAGTTTCATTTATCATTGGAAACTTAAAACTGGTTATTTGATGTTGATAATTTGTGCACTGTTCCAATAAAGATTTGAAACAGATTATCATACATCAGGTGGTCAGAGGAATGGGAGGGAGGACAGGGAATTCTGATGGCTGTGGGAGACAGGCAATGCAGCTGCAGCAATTAATTAGCAACTTTGGCTTATAAAGACTCTGCAGTTTCTATGGTTTAGATAAGTGACCCCCAAGCCCATCTTCTAAAAGCCTGTCCCCAACTTGGTTCTATTTGAAGATGGTGCAACCTTGAAGAGATGGGGATTCCTGGCTGTAATAAAGTGAGCGGTTTCCCCCACTACTTACCTCCACTCTGATGTGCTGCCTCACAGGCTCAAAGCTACAGGGCCAACTGACCATGGACTCAAACCTCTGAAACAGCGAGCCAAAATAAAACTTTCCTCTTTCGAAATTGGCTAATCTCATATATTGGTTATAGTAATAGAAATGTGACTAATACACTTCCCCTGGTACTTCAACCGCTAGAGATTGGTTGCAATGGCCACCAGCTTGGAAATATATCCACAGAAGAACAAGTTTTTGCCTCAGCCCAAAGCCCTCAAATTTGTATTGCTGTGTGTGCTTTGCAATCTACCCTTGTTTTTTAGTATGCCATTTTCCTCTCTCTAGTTATAAGGTTATAAAATTTGCACCTGCAACAAGACTGTCCAGATAGAAGTGAGCTATGATAAACACTAGTTAGTGAGTTAGTGGGCTTATCCTCACATTAAGGAAAGAAAGAATGGTCAGGAGCATTAGTATTTGTTGGAATGTTATATGTTGTTCTAGCCCTCAACAATATCATACTCATGGATCCTAAAATCAGGGATCAGTAATTCTACTGGTACCTATTGCAAAAGATCATCTTTTTGAATGCATCCCTTAGCTCAGGGCTCCGAAAGGCATATATAAAGGGGTCGATGACTGCATTACACATGATCAACATGCCATTCACCTGGAAGAGAGACATGTAGCAAGCACAGTAAGGGTTATTTGGGCAGAAGGTCATTAAGAGCACATGAAGGACAAACGGGGCCCAACAGAAGATGAAGACCCCAAGGAGGATGGTGAGTGTGATGGCCCCTTTCATGTTGGTCCTGGGAAGGGTGGAGATCTTTCTAGCATGGGAGCGAGCCAGTAAGAACATGTGAATGTAGAGGCACAGGATGAAGACCAACATAAGAGGGAACAGCGATGTGAAGGTCAGCACTGTGGGGACATGGTGGGAGAAGATCACCATGGCAATGCTGCTCCCTGTGCAGAACGTCCAGATGACCATCAAGGTAATGACGGTACAGCGCATGGTGACAATGTTGTGGTACTGCAGGGCATGGAAGATGGTGATGTAGCGGTCAGCGGCAATCACAGAGAGGCTAAAGATGGAGCCAAGTAGAGAGAGGATGAACATAGAGTCAATGATGTCATCTGCTGTGGTTTCAAAATTGCCACGAGGCTTGACATAACCCATGTTTCTGAACATGATCAGGGTATTTTCCAAGATCTTATACAGGCTACCCAACATGTCAGAAATGGCCAAGCTACAAATGAAAAAGTACATGGGGGACTGGAGATTCTTGTTCTTGATCACAGCCAGAAGGACAAGCAGGTTCTCCAAAACTCCAATGATAGAGATTGTGAAAAATATTTCTTCTGGCAAAACCACACGAGGACAGTCTGAATTATTTCTCACTGTGCCGTTGATGGTTTCATAAGGATTGATAATGTGCTTCATTTCTTCTGCTTGGTGTTAAGATGGGATGTTACTGGGCTTGCCTTCACAAAAAGCTTGATTGATTCTTCAGAATGTTTTCCCTTTTGTAGCGCCTGCTGGAGATCTGAGGTTACAACCACTCGGCTCCCTAAAAGAGTGTACAGAAATATGCAGTGCAAAATAGAGTACCCACTAAAAACAAGCCAACTAGCTTTAAGAGAACTATATTACTCCACAAAATAGCATAGCCCCAAACCAATTTATTGGGCCCCTATCTCAACTACTCTGTGAGTAATCTTTTGTGAAATTTTGAGCCTGGGCACAATGATAAAGCTTGTTAATTGCCCTCTCTCCTTTCCCTCCTGTCTTTATGAGTGCAGTTTTATGCGTGATAGATTAACAGGAAAGAGCAGACACCCTTTACACATTGGTGATGACAGTGGGGTCAGTGGATAATTGAGACGTTTAGACTTTTTTCTTTTTCATTACTCATTTTCCTGGGTTTTGGTCTGACCTTACAATTTGTGGGATAATGACAAAGGTGTGGGTGAGCCATTTCCTAATACAGTATATGTTATTACTTCTGTATCAAAAACTCTCAGAAACTGGGTGTAGTGGTGCAGGCCTGTAGTCCTAACTACTCAGAAGGGTAAGGTGAGAGGATAGCTTGAATCCAGGAGTTGGAGACCAGCCTGGGCAACACAGGGAGAACTTGTCTCCAATAAAAAGGAAAGAAGGAAAGAAAGAAAGAAAGAAAGAAAGAAAGAAAGAAAGAAAGAAAGAAAGAAAGAAAGAAAGAAAGAAAGAAAGAAAAATGAAAGAGGGGCTGGGAGTTGAGGGCATCACTCAAGTGGTAGAGTACCTGCCTAGGAAGTTCAAAGCCCATTATTGCCAAAAAGAAAGAAAGAAAGAAAGAAAGAAAGAAAGAAAGAAAGAAAGAAAGAACCTCTAGGTGTCCTAGAGACTGGGGCCTGTGCTTTCCTGGCTCCCTTCAAAGTCTCCTGAGGTAAACTGGCCACACCATGTAGCCAGCTGCTGGAAGATTCTGTTGCTTGGTCTTCTGGAGACCCACTGGGCCAGGAGGATCTCTGAGCTTACTTTCTACTGAGTGCATGAGAAGTTTTATCATAGGACTCTCAGGTTCTGCTGTATGACAGTTGTGTTCCACAGGTTTTATAGAGAGCCAACATGGGCACTGGGCTTTTGGCTGCTGAGTCAAGTCCTGCAAGGCTACAAGTGTACTGGACTGAGTTGGAGGATGTAGGTACCTGGGGTAAAGTTCTGGAATTATCTCTGAGTGAACTGGGAGCTTCTATTAGCATCCCAGCATTCACTATATGCATTAAACATTTTTAACTCTTTCTCTGAATAGGTACTACAGGCTACGTGACTATATTCAGTTATGTGTCACCTAACCATGGCGATGCATTCTAAGAAACAGGTCAGGAGATTTTGTTGTATGGAACATCATAGATTGTACCTACACAAATGTCACTAGGCTATAGGAATGTTTCAGCTCCATTATAATCTTATGGAACTACCTTTGTATAATTGGTCTATCATTGACTAAAACATTATTATAAGGTACATGACTCTGTGTGTATCAATGATAAAAAGTTTCCCTTCCAGCTCTTTAATCCTATATGCCCCATTACTGCCCTCTAAACAGGTGACTTATCTTCCTTCTGTGGTTTCTTTTTGCATATTAAAAACAAATATGAGTACAGGAAAGCAATATGAGTCAACTGCCTGTATAGCTGTCCTTATCTCAACTAGCAAAAACCCTTGGTCCTTCCTATTATTGCTTATACTCTCTCTTCAACAAAATTAGAGATAAGGGCAAAATAGTTTCTGCCTGGAAGCGAGGGGGTGGGGGGAGAGGGAGGGAGTGGGGTAGGTAAGGGAGGGGGCAGGGGGAAGGGGGGAGAAATGACCCAAACATTGTATACACATATGAATAAAACAAAAATAAATAAATAAATAAAAATAGAAATGCTATTCTTTAATCCTCAAAAAAATATGAAAATGTACACTATAGTTCCTCTCATTTCTTAGGGTTTCCAATAAACAGATGCCAAGATGGGATAAAAAGTGCCTGTCAAGGATGAAGAGGAGCCCACAGACTGGGCACATCTGGCCCTTGGGGTGAGGAGGGAGGATGGAAGATTGGGTAGGAAAAGTCTTAGACTGTTGCTCGGCTCTACGACAATATTGACCTGGTCAATAGGGAGCCCTCAAGCAAAAGATACCCATGACAAGAAGCCTATGTCCTTTAGGAAAAGGCTGGTACTGATACTCCTGCAGGGCTCAATGGTGGGCTGAGGTAGCCTGGAAGAAACCTGGCCTTAGCACGAATGTGTGGGAGATACAGACAGTGAAGACTGTGCTGTTGGTCAACTCTATTTTCAGGAACAGGAGATCTTAGCAGTTCATTTCTGCAGCCACCAAGCTTCTACCCACTATTCAAAAGGTGCTCTGTAATGAAATGCATCATATTATGTAGGAGCAAGACACATTGAAATGCACTGAAAACTGTTAAACAACATGGGATAGGGGAACAATGGTGAGGAAGTGTAGTGGAAGGGGGTTACACTGACAAATACATGTACAGGTATACTACCAAGACAAAAATCCCAGTGAACCATGAACAGACACCCAAACAAGGGAAGGCACTAATGGGAGAAGGAGGGTAAAAGAAGAAAGGTAAGAAGATGAATATGGATGATGCACTTCCTATACAAGAATGAATACAGAATCTTTAAACCTGTTGAAATCAGCATAAGAAGAGGACTAAGGTAGAAAGGAGAAAAATGGAGGGGATGAACCAATTTGGGATACAATACATATAGACAAGGAAATGTCACAATGAAACTCCATGTATAGATATCTTAAACAAAAACGTCTTTTTTCAAAAATGAAGGACAGGAAAGCAAAACAGGTCCTGTCTGGAGGGTTGGTACCAGTGTGGGGGGGAAATGGTGGAAATCTTAAGCACTCATGTATGAAAATGGAAAATGAGACCTGCTGACGCCATTCTAAGATGGAGGGAGAGGAAATAAAGGAGAATGATGGTGGGGGTGAATTTAACTAAAAGACATTGTAAGCACATTTATAAATGTCACAAAGTACCCCCAGTACAACAATAATATAATAAAAATAGGATAAAATTAAAAAACAAAAGCAAAAAATGTGCTCTGTACCTTGTTTTAGACTCTTCCAAAAAGCAGGTGGATTACTTCTTTCTTTGCCCTCCTTCCTTTCCGTTCTCCTCCTCCTCCCCACTCCCTGGTCTCTCTCCATTGTATTCCATTGCATGCATGTACCTAAATTGTCTAATCTGTTCTGCATTGATTGTTATCTGGGCTGTTTCTAATATTTTTCTCTGTGAAGAATGCTACAATGCTCAATCATCTAAGAAAACGGTTACTCATGCTTATGTATGAAGAGGATAACTTCACAGAAACGGAATTGTTGAGTGAAGGTGTATGTGCCTTGGCACTTTTAAGTCATGTTTTCAGACTGCCTTCCATAGGAGTTGGTACTAATTCACACTCCCCCACAGCCTCTGAAATACGGTCTTATCACACTTTTGGATTTGGCCAGTGACACACCTGGCAGGGATTTCACAACAGATTTTGGTTTTTACATATGCTGTGGGTTCTGTTCTTTCTGGTTATGTGACTCTCAGATTCCAACCAGAACAAGTGTTCTACCATTGGTTCACTTTTAGCTTTCAGCTTTCTGTTCTGTATCAGTGCGCAGGGATATACCAGACCTGCCCTGCTTCAGTGTCTGGCTGAGGGAAGCACCCCACATTTCCTTCTTATGTCCAACTCGTCTTTATAACTCATTTGTGCTTCTTTTTGGGTCCAGAGTTCAAAGAGAAACTGAGCAGCAAAACAAGCTTTCAGGTGATCTATTAATAATAAAAAAGAAGAGATGAAATACGAAAAACAGAAAACAATACTAAAATAAAAACCAACTTAGATGGCCAGGTTGGTTTTGATTTGATTTGATTTACTTATTTATATTGCTGTGCTGAGAATGCCTCATGCATACTAGACAAGCGTCTCACCACTGAACTACACCCCCAAGCCCAAGGTTGGGTTTTACATTAATTAAAAGAACCCGAATGGCAGACTTGGTCCTCAGTGGACCTGAATCTCAGTACACCTGAATCTCAGTACTGTTCAGGGGTTTTTACCTTACCAGGGCTGTAGGAGGTGATTGCTGGGCTCATGTTATGGATGATGGTCCCATAGTTCATTGCCCTGGGACATCTTTTTGGTATTTTCAAGATTACTCTGGAAGAAATGTCCTAATCATTGAAAGTGCTCTTTGGAAGGGGAAGAGTTATTTAGATTTTCACCAGAGGCTTAAGTCTTTACTGAAGCTGTAGAAATACAGAGTGAAGAATGGGGTGAAGTGTGGTAGAAGATGTGGGTCTGTGAAGGAGCTATTTGCCCTCTTGGGAGGGCTCACCAATCTTTCACCTGCCCACACCCACCACTGAGCATGAGTGACTCCAGGCAGGAATGGGTGTGCTGGTCAGAGTGTGCAACCAGTTCATCTGTACTGCATACTTTCCCCTTCTCACCTTCCTACAGGGGGGAATCTGAGACCTTGCCACACCTTCACTACTAGGTGTTTGACTCCAATGGGGCCAATGCTTTGAAAGCCTTATAATGAAAGCAATTGAACAAATTGAAAAGATTCTGTGTGTGTTGTGAGGCTCTCAGTAAGAGATATCAATCTTCAACCCGCTCAGAGTGAATTACTTTCCCCTCAAGGACCTTCCCCCGCCCTGCCATGCCCCATGGCGTCAAAATCTCCTCTGGCCTTCCATTGATGCTTGTAAGATGTAAATGCTGTTGATAGCTCTGGAAAGATTTGTTAAGGCTTCCTTCCACCTTACTCTTATTTGGTGTAATACTTTTGTATGACTGACAGAGCACCCTGAATCCAGCATGCACACAGTGACCCATGGTGGTTGTGGGGCAGTGAAGAGGCTGATTTGGATG